AGAAAGACAATTGAAGGAACAGATCAGCAATCCATACCTCGTAAAAAATCTCATAAGCATATAGAACTGCAAATCGAGTCTCGAATGATAGACGGAGTTCATAGAGCAATGACATAGCAAGAATAAAGAAATAACGAAAATCAAACGAAGAAGAAACAGATAGTGAAACAAAATTATGGTAATGCTATAGAAAATAGTAAAATATTTATAACAGCATAAGATTTATATATATATATATTAATGTACATTTTGAATTTATATTATCCAGTAATGTGGATCTAATTGATTTTTTAAATCATTACAGTGACATAACTATAATTTTTTTTACAGATTTATTTTGTTGAAATATATAATAATTACGCTATGAAATCTATTTGAAACATTGCATTATTTCTTCATGAAAATCCGTTTATAGTTACAAATATATGTAAAATGTACTGTGAAACAATTAATCATGAGAAAGCTTAAACTGCATGACACCAGCAGTGACTCATTTTTCCAGTACGATTATTTTTCAACCTTTACTACATTTGGACTTTTAATCGAATTTATAAATAATATGCTACTTGTAAGTAAATTACTTTGATGTTAATAATAGTGACTTAAATATCATTGAATTATTAACTATTTCACGCGTTATAAGATGATAAATTAACTTTTTGTATTTATTTTTGTTATTAAAATTGTTAATTTATTTAGAAATCATTAATTTAATTAAAATTATTAATTAATTTTCTTGTTGTAAGATTATTTGTTTTTTATTGGTGCGAAATTCAAACAATTTTAATTAATTTAAATTAATTATTTTAATTAATTTAATTAAAATAATATAAAGTTTCTGTAATATTATATTTAACTATATGTACTTTTTCATATTATAGAAAACTATGTAACAAGAAATTTAAAAAATTAGGAAAAAATAAAATAAATTATGATGGAACAAAACTCCGCCAGAAGTAGGTGCTGGGTGGATTGAGTAGCTCAGCAACCGCTCCTGCAACCGATTCCAAGCTTGGATAAAGAAAGATAATTGAGGGGACAGATCAGCAATCCATCTCTCGTAAAAAACCTCATACGCATATAGAACTGCAAATCGAGTCTCGAATGATAGATGGAGTCCATAGAGCAATGACATGGCAAGAATAAGGAAATAACAAAAGTCAAACAAAGAAGAAACAGATAGTGAAACAAAATTATGGTAATGCTACAGAAAATAGCAAAATATTTATAATAGCATAAGATTTATATAAATATTGATCATTATATTGTTGTTGCATATTAGAGATGATGTTGGTACCGGCACGCAAGATTTAAGACAAAGATTAAAATGATGCAAACGTGAAAATAAACTTCATGGAGATGTGAAAAGAGATACGCAAAAGAAGAGAGAAATGATTGATAACTATAAAATGTAACATAATATAAAAATGTGTGGCAAATATATAATAAATAATTGTAAAACGTATGTCTTCAAATGTTGTCCATGTTATTATTCAGTTGTTTATACTGGAAAAATGACTAATAACATAATTTGATGTTAAGTTTTCTAATTAAAGCTATTGCAATCACATATTAATTATTTTTCCAGAATGGACAATTAAACATATTTTTAATTATTGCAAGCACATATTAGTTACTTTTCCAGTATGTACAACTAAAAAATATCTTTAAGATATCTCAATCATACTGCAAACATGTTGTTTAAGTGTCATATTTATATAAGATAATGTCTGTAATATTTTCATAATAATATTCAAGATATTTTAAAAAGAAAAAAATTGCGGACACAAAATCAAAATAACATATGTTTAAAATGACATTAATTTTATTATTATATATATATATTTTTGATAATAATTAATAATTGAAATATTTTTTTATAATGACAGTTTTTCCGTCGTCTCTGCCACCCCGTCCTCGACCGCCTGCGCCGCCTCGACCGCCACCTCGACCGCGTCCTCGACCGCCCGCGCCGCCTCTGCCGCTTTGATACCAACGGGCGCGGCTCCTTCCACGCCCTTGTCCTCGATGAAATACTGCAAAAATAAAAATAATATTATAATCTTATTACAACTAAATGTTAAATATATATAATATAGTTTCATAATCATT